GCGGAGGCCCCCCGCCCGCCCTCCTTCCCATCGCTCCTCCCCAGCGCCCCCGGCTTGCGCACACGGGGGCACGGTAGCGAGCGGAGGCAGAAGACCACCAGAGCGAGGCGCCTGGGCCATGGGCGACCGGTCCGCGGACGACACTAACGATTCCCACTCTCCCGCACCGCCCAACGCCTGCCGCGGCCGGGACTCCGCCCCATCTCCAGAGCCGTAGTCTCCCGCCAGGGAGCGGGTGGGCCGTAATGGACTCTCTCGCGCTCCGTAATCCGAGGCTTCTGCCCCTAACAAAGATGGCTGCCTACCCTGTTCTACCCCGCCCTTTGGTCAGTATCAAATACTAGACTATCTTTCACTTTCGAGTCACTGGTGACGGAGGATGGCACCGATTCCGAAGACCGTGAGACAGATCAAGCTAGGTGAGCGGGGTGACAAGATGGGAGGGGACCCAGGAGGGCCGAAGCAGCCCACTTGGGTTTACCTGTGGCCCTTTTCAGTCAGGACTTTCCACTTCAGGCTGAGGGTGGAGGGCTCTGGTCCATCCATCCTGAGGTCGCTGAATCGGTGCCGCCTTCCTTTCCCGTAGCCTGCCCTCTGCGGTCTGGCTGCACACTAGGAGTCGCTGCTGTCCCCAGACTCTGCCAGGAATTCGGTCCAGAGGACTACGGCGAAGAGGTAAAGGAGACCCCCAGCTCCCAACTCCGCCACGCCTACCCCTTTTAGATCCGTCACCCTTCTGAAATCAACTGTGCTGAGACTAGAGACCCGCTGGCGCCGCATGGAGGAGCTTTGAGGGAACTGGAGGAAGCGTAGCCTCGAGTCCTACCCTTGAGAATCTTAGACAAATCAGTGTCAGGGGAAGGAAGGAGGATCCTGCCGTAAAAAATGCTCGCAGTGGAGAGAATTGAGCAGACACAGTATCTGAATTTAGGACTGGGGAACGGGCAGGAGGTCCTGGGGGAACTCTATAGACAGAGGAGACAGTGTAGGCAAAGACCCAAAAGCAAGGAAAAAGCAAGAGAACTTCACTGAACCGAGACCACAGTGGAGGGTTTGGTTGCAACAGTAAAACAAGTGGCTTGAAAACCTGTCTAGCACAGAGGTTTGGATGTACTCAAGTAGGCTAAGGGGTTACTAGAAGGGAGAGGATCAGATCTGGGAGCACTGAGAAGCTAGACTTCCAGCTGTTCCCTGGTCATATCTAGAACCTCTATCTCAACAAGCACGAAAGTGAATTATCACCCTTTGCAAGTTGGTTGCCTTTTCTCCAATCCCCATTTTGGTTAATAATACAAACTTCCATCTGGTTACTTAATCTAGAATCTGGGAATCCTCTTATAGTCTTCCCTTTCCTTTCCTTTGTATCTTTAGCTAGTCACTAAAATCTACTCCTGAAATGTGTCTTAAAACAAGCCCTTCATTTCTATTTCTACCCCTGCTGCCACTGTCTTAGTCCAAGGGCTCTTTCTCTCTCCAGCCTGAGCAGTCGTCTTGGCCTGTTAACTAAACATTCCTCGCCTTAGACTCACATCCTTCCCAGCACTATTTCCCTCCCATCACTGGCAAGATAAAGTCCACATTCACTAGGTCATACAAGGTACTTTTCTTTAATGAATCATTTTATTTAGTTGTATTTACTATGTTAGGTTTTTCTGCGGGGGGTGTTTTATAGAGAAATTTTTGCTATATAGCATGTGTGCTTGCAGAGACAGAGAGACATAAGGTGAGAACCCCCCCCCCCAGGGGGAATGGCCATACCACAGTCTCCTTTCTCTTCTCGGGATTTTAGGCATGCATGAACATGTGCCTGGCATGAGTTTCAAGCCTCTGGGTCCAGGACTCAAACTGTAGTCAGCCAGGCAGGAGGCCAGGGATGCAATCATTACACCATCTGCCGGTCCCATTATGTTTTTTTCCCCTCCATTATTATATTATAACTTGCTATAGGACACGTGGATTCACCAGAGGGAGAGAGAGAGGAAACGTGAGAAAGCAAGCCACCATGACAGGGACTTGAACCAGGGTGGGCCATTGGGAGTTCAGTGTCCCAACCACCATGCCACCTGCTGGCCCTGGTACTTTTTTTTTTTTTCCAGAAGGTATGTGTATGCTCACCAGAGAGAGAGAAAGCATCCCTCAGTGGGACATGGTTACCCTGCAATCCTTTCTCCTCCACTTCTCCATCTTGTTGAGATTGTGGGCACACACACCTGGCATGGTTTTCAAGCCACTGAGGCCAAGCTTTTAACCAGGGCCAGTCGTGTGGAATGCAGCTCCCTTAACCACTAGACTGGCTCCAAGGTGCTTTAGATACAGTTCGTGCTCTGTCTCTATTGGAATAGACTTGTCACCAATCTCTTTGACCCCTCGGAACACACTCACTGAACACCAGCTCTGTACCAGACACTGTTGTAGGCACTAGAAAGACAGCAGTAAACCAAACAGGCCAAAATCGTCCTGGTCAATGAATTAGAAGTATCTAGCGGAGGCAGCCAGTCAAATAAATATCATATCGCAAATATGAGATGTGCAAAGAAAAGGCAAGAGAGGGCATGGGGAGTACTAAGGGGCAATGGGAGGTTTCTTTTTTAAAAATGTGGTCAGAGAAGGTCCCCCTGAGAAGGTGACCTCTAAGCCTTAATCGTGGAGGTGAAATGGGCAGGGAAGGGTTTGAAAGGAGATGGGATCTGAGCTGGATCTTGAAGGTGTGACAAGCAATGGTGAGAAAGAGACTTAGAGCGGGAGGGACTGGGGGTGGAATGAGCCTAGTGGCAGAGGGAGGACGACAGCTAAGCAGGGCGGGATTGCACAGGAGTGCTGGAAAGGCCAGCTGGGGAGCTATTTGGAAGGCCCTGAATCCTAGGTGGAGGAGCTGAGGGTCAGTGCAGCCTATGGCCGTGGGGAGCAGGGATGAGTAGCAGTTTTGAATAGGGGAGTAACTTCTAAGAGTTGGGATTTGGAGAGAAGCCAGTGACATGCAGGGGAGAGGCCACCCAGGAGCAGCTGTACCTATTTAGGTGAGACGTGGCTTCAGGGTGGGCTCTGTGGGGGCTCTCGCTAGTCTGAGATATGACAGGGGGCCTAGCTGTTCCCGGCCCCTCGGCCCCTCGGTGTGACTGACCATGTGGCAGGCTGTGGGAGCAGCCCCAACAGGGCGGAAAGAGCTGAGCTGAATGCCACATTCAGCCCCTGGGAAGACAGGAGAGAGTGGAGGGGTACCTCCAAGGCTGGCAGCAGATTTTGAGGTGCAGAAAGAGGGCAGAGCCAGCTAGATTCTTTGGGCTGGGGGGCTGGTTCGTGGCTGTCCCGGTGGAGGGGTGCAGCCAGCCAACGCCTAGCCCTTTCCCTGAACTCCCCCAACGCTGGCCTCACCTCCCCTCCCCCTCCCAGGACATAGTGGATTTTCTTCAGCGGCTTGTGGCAAGCGATCCCCAGGGCCTGCACCGGATCCGTGTGGATGGGAGCAGCGGGCGGCTGCAGCTGTGGCACCATGGTGGGGAGTGCAGGGGCCTGGCTGGGACCCACGCTGGAACCCTGGGGGGCTGACGCTCACATGCCCCCTCTCATCTTCCTCCTCCTTTCCCGGCTCTCCCTCCCTCCTGGTAGATGACTTTGTGGACCATTTCTGTGATGAGAGAAAAACAACGGGGCAGAGTGACAGGGACACAGGGGCCAAGGGACCGGGCACCTACTGCGGTCTCCAGAAGTCCTTCCTGTGCCCTCCCCGCGGAGCCGAGCCCTGCCCGCCAAGCCCCTCTGCCTCTGCAGCCTGCCACAGTGTCTCAGACAGCCTGCTGCACATGGCCATGCCCCAGAAGCTCCTGGTGACCGAAGAGGTGAAACTCTCAGGATGGGACTCCATGGCCCCTCGGGATCTCCCACCCCCATCTTCTCATCCCTAGATTCGCCCCTTTTCTGTGCCTTTCACCACCCTTCTATACCGTCTGCCTCCCTTCTTCCTGTTTTCCTGTCACCTGCCCTTCCCCTCCAGGAAGCCAACCGCCTGGCTGAGGAGCTGGTGGCTGAGGAGGAGCGCCTGAAACAAAAAGCAGAGAAGAGACGGCTGAAGAAGAAGGTGGCTGGAGGGTGGGAGGAGGAGGAGCCCAGAGGGACTGGGGCAAAGAGGGAAGCTCTGTGAGAACGAGAGGGCTCAAGGTGGCCTGCAGAGCATCCTCTTGCCAGGAGGGCCCCAGGGGTGCAGGGGCTGGGGGAGGTCTCCCAAAGCGGGAAGCCCTGTGGCAGTGGTTCTGTGACTGTTACCCGCTCCTCCCCTGTACAATGGAGAGGATGGTAATGCCTACCTCCTAGAGGTGCCAAGATCCCGTGAGGTTTTATATGCCAATACAGTAAGTGCTCAAGCTATATCCTGCCCATCGTCCTTGCAGCGTCAAAAGGAACGAAAGCGACAGGAGCGCTGGGAGCAGGATAGAGGGGACCCCAAGGTGAGTATCTGCAGGCAGCTGCTAAGAGCACCAAGTGCCAGGAAGGTGGGGGCTGAGAAGGCTGGCGGCACAGGGTGACCCCAACTCTGTGCCTTTCCACCTTCCCTTCAGGCCAAGGCTAGCTCAGATGGGGACGGGAGCCCCCCGTGCAGTCCTGGGAACCCCGCTCCGACACAGGGTGGTGAGGAAGAGGTGAGGCCTGCTTTCTTCTCTTGTGCTCTGCCCTCTTGGGCTCCCCTACCCTAGGGCATACTTCATCCCACCCCGCCCTAACTTTCCTTCTCTCCGGCAGGACCCACTGGATCTGTCCAGCACTTTTGTGTCTCTTGCTTTGCGCAAGGTTGGGGATTTGCCTCCCAGTGCCCGGAGAGAAAAGGGACAGAGCCAGGAGCCCCAAGACAGGGGTCCGGAGCCCCAAGGCAGGGGCCAGGAGCCCCAAGACAGAGGTCCGGAGCCCCAAGGCAGGGGCCCAGAGCCCCAAGATAGGGGTCCAGAGCCCCAAGGCAGGAGTCCGGAGCCCCAGGAGAAAATGGGCCCAGAAGAAGGAAGCCCTTCAACAAAGGAGAGGCCGAGGCAGAGTCCTAAGGCATGTGTGAGGAGGGCAGAGGAACCTGGGTCAGCCAGAACCAGTGGGAGGGTGCCGGAAGGTGCTGGGAAGGCACGTGCTGAGGGTCAAGGGGGTGACAGCAGGAGTTCTCCAGGCCTCGGGTCAAGAGACCTGGGCTCAGGGTCCATCAGTCTCCCTGACCCTGGGCGGTTTCCTCCGAAGGAAGGTGGGGCAGTACCATCTCGCAGGGTTAGAGCTGGGTGGTGCTAATTGCAGTGTCCTCTGTTTGAACAAGGGAGAAGGGACTGAGGGGGTTAGGCCTGGAGACCGCACTGACTCACACCCTACCCCTAGGCGTCCCCGGGACTGCTGGCGGCTGCCTTACAGCGGAGCCAGGAACTGGCAAGTGAGAGCCTTCTTCCTCCTCACCCCACCCTCCCTGCAGTCGCCCCCGCTGAACTTTCCCACCTGCTTTCCTTCCCAGAGCTGGGTACCAGCTTTGCTCAAAATGGTTTCTACCATGAGGCCGTGGTCCTCTTCACCCAGGCCTTGAAACTTAACCCCCAGGACCACCGGTAGGTGGGGACTTGACCGCGGCACTGGGAGGTCAGGACAAGGTGGGGTACCGAGGCCCCAGACCTTTGGCTCATTTCCATCATCAGGTTATTTGGAAATCGCTCCTTCTGCCACGAGCGGCTTGGTCAGCCCACGTGGGCCCTGGCCGATGCCCAGGTGGCCCTTACCCTCCGACCCGGCTGGCCCCGGGGCCTCTTCCGCCTAGGCAAGGCCTTGATGGGATTGCAGGTAATGGTTGTGAGGCTGGAAGCTGAGGAGGGGTTTAGGTGGGACGGGGCATGGGGTCTACACTGAGGTTTTCACAGTGGTTGTGGTACTGGCTGCTGGGGCCAGTTTGGGGAAAGGGGTGGTTTTAAGCGCCTCGACCTGCCCTGAACGTTCCCCTCTTTCATCCCTCTGGGACCAAAGCGCTTCGGGGAAGCAGCGGCTGTGTTCCAGGAGACTCTGCGGGGTGGGTCCCAGCCTGACGCCGCCCGGGAGCTCCACTCCTGCCTTCTTCAGCTCGCTCTGGTAAGGGAGCCAGGCTGCTTTCAGGCTGTGGGGACATCCGAGGGGACAGTTCGGACTGCAGCACCAGGCCGTGCTCCTTCTGCCTCAGAGGGGTCGGCAGGGTAAGCAGGAGTGAGCTGTGCTGTTTAAGGGAGTACCAGGCCCCTCTCACTTCTCCCCAGGATCAGCAAGGAGGGATCCGTGTGCCAGCTTTGTCCACGGGGGTCTCCCAGCCATCTCCTGTCCCTGAGCCAAGAGCCTCAGGCCTGCTGACCCTCAGTCACCCTCGAAGCACGGTTCCAAGAGCCCCAAGCCTTTTGTCTCCACCCTTGCATTATCCCCCATGTCACTTGAGCCACCCCAACTGGTCCCTCCCACAGGCTCAGAGTAGAAGACCCCATCCAGTCCACCTCCAGGATCCCTCGAAAGGCTGGGACATCCTGGGACTTGTGTCCCAGTATCTACCTCAGACCAGATGAGGGAGGACCTGTCTCTCCTAGGGTTAGGCCGCATGTAATCCCACAAGGGGACATGTATGTACATCCCGTAAGTGTCCCCACGTAGGGACACTAGTGACACCACTGCGTATTTGGAGACCTCGTACTCTAAATCCATAGTTAAGGACATTCCTGGCCATCATCCCCCTTGCCTCTGAGAACCTTCCAGTGAGAGAACGGAGTGACGTGTCCACTGAGATCTTTTCTCTGGTTCTCAAGCAGATGGCTTCTTCTGGGGCCAGCAAGGACAAATAAAACCTGTCAAGGCTCAGGAAGGGAACTAAACATACACCGTCTGTCCAGGTGACAGGCTGCAGCAGGGTCAGCAGGACAGCGATGGGGTCTTGCTCTTCTCCTCGGCCCTGGGGGCTCCCTCACCACCCTGCACTCTGTGCTCAGGAATGGGGCCACTGTGCCGAAGGAGGCTGGAGGCCCTGCCCTGGGCTGGATGGAGGCTGGCCTCTTCCTAGCCCTCGTTCCCGCCCTGCTTTCTCTAGCCTGGGCCCCAGTGTGCTCCCAGCCCCTTGTGCCCTCCTCCTGTCCACATTGCCGTGCCCACTCGGACCACTCCTTTGCTCTCCTCTCCCACTGCTAGAAGATTCTGCAGGCTTTGTATTTTGTATTGGGAAGGTCTCCCTCCGACTCTGCAGCCTTATCTGCTTCACGAAGGCTGTCCTGCTG